TCATCTCTATGAAGTTTGCTAAGTACTACCATTCACTCAAGTTTAATATCTACACACTCAAAACTGCATGTATGCGCGGTTCCATTCATGCATGAGCCGTGGCCTGTTTAATCATTATTGGTTTCAGACCTCAATTATTTGTTAGAAGCACTCCCTACGGTTTTCAAGGCTTGGAATTCCTCAGGATAGCACTCACTTGAATTCATTCCAAGCAGGACATCAGAGAATACTTGACACACCCACTATGAATACTGTAGTGTTTCGACCAAGTGTTCACAGCCTGTGACGCGTGATGCCAAGTGTTCACTATACCAAGTGTTCAAAACCGGGGCATGATTGTGATGCAGTCCCCAAGTGTTCATTCTTACCAATAAGGTCCCTTCACAGTAGCAGACGACGGCAGCCTCATGTGGGCTGGTAACGTCGAAATGTTTGATGTGGAGGAAGACGTTTCTTACTTTAGGCTGGGGAAAGTGTCAGAAGATCGCCGCATGACGTTGCAATGGGAAGAGCATTGATTCTGGTGTTTTTTTTTTTTTTCCCCCTGCTCCGACTCTGCACTAGTTTGAGTTTTGCAGATTGTTTATCAAATGTTTCATAGCTTCAAGTTAAAAATGTAATTTGGGTGCTTCATGGACTTCGCCAGGATAGGTGTTCATTGAGCCTCCGTGACGGGTATGGCTACCAAAGTGTTCAGTTCACGACCCTCTGTGATGCGTGATATGAACACTTGGTCGAAACACTACAGTACATACATTTTATCGTTAATTGAGTTCGTCCATTTATTGCCCCAACGAAGGAAAACTAGGTACTACCAGGGTCCTGTTTTTTATTCTTGCGCACATTTGATCTTCCTTCATTAGCTCCTCCTGCCACAGCCTTCACCGGCAGTCGAACACTTGCGGGCCCAGACACAATGTGCAGAACATGATGCACTGGGCACGTTTCCAGCTGTGAGGAGCCCCTCGTCCACACCCCCAAGACTTCTGTGCGGGACGACAGAGCACGCATCGGCAAAGCGGGAAACTCCACATCCACATGGTCATGCAGTGCTGTGCACGTGACGACCTCGCTGGTACTTGAGGCATGCTGGTGGACACAACCACCACCAGGCACCGAGCATCCTCATCCTGTCCCACAACAGATACATGCACTGGCAGAATTCCGTGCACGCCCGGTAAATTTGCCTTCCTCTCTGTGACCAGCTGCCAATCAACCCATGTCTTGTGCCCCCAGTGGCAGGCGAACTGCCCGAGGAGTGTCGGACCCCTGGCGCCATGCAGGAATGCAGCATTCGACAAGGACCATGCCCTTCCATGCATGGTTCAGCATCACGTTCATGTGCTTGAGGGACTGGAGGAAGCCGGACTGTGTCATGTGCACGATGGAGACAAGCACATAGTCCACTTCGTTCCCTGTTCAATATATCTTATGTAACTTTTGAGTGATTCCATCACCATCAGCTAGGTCCGTCATGGAGAAAAACACTTTTCAACCTGGCCTGAGCCTCCATGAGATAATCAGGGGTCCTGTGCTCGGTCTTAAAAGTCTGTTGCTATACAGCAGCTTGATCCACCGGCAGGTATTCCAGCAAGGACATAGATGAAAACTCCAAGACTGTATCTAGATATATTTGAATACACCCAATCCTGTATCATATCATATCATATCATGGAGTATTCATATCTGGAGGTGAGGCACAAGACCATATTGTATTCATATTTTTTGGGTATATCCAAAATATATCTGACTGTATCGTATTTTTGGCCAGCACTAAGACCATTCGTAAGCCTTACCAAGCTGCAGCTTAACCAGGCACCCAATATCTGGGAGTCAGGAACTGGAGTGGGGAACCGATATGCGACAATCATCGGCTGGTGACGAAGATGACTTCTGCTGGATGATTTCTGCTGACTCTCGGCCCTGTGCCATCCTGATGTGTCAACTCAACCTGCTATATATAAAAGGTGAACGGATTTGCCTCAAGTTTGATCAACAGCTGTGACCGACCAACGCAAATAGTACACCTCCAAGCTCGTCAACAAACACGTCCTCATCATTAGTGGCAGCTCCAGCATCAGTTACCGTGTCGCTGAAGCCTGCCTTGAGCACGACACTCGCGTCACCACCTCATCACCCAACCCGATGCGCCCCCCCACTGCCACTGCCAAGCCCCCCGCCGCCCACCTCTCTGCCACCTACGAACCCAGCACCGAAGCAACACTCGAGGCCAGCATCACCACACCCCCAACACCGTTGTGCTTGCACTCAACCACGCCGTCTACAATGCCGGCCACCCTGCTGCTGCCTGACGTGACGGTCCCCAAGATCACGCAAGGCGGCATGGTGTGCTTCTACGCCCTGCTCATCTGTGCCTGTGAGGCCGCACCTGCCTAAGTTGCCTGACTCGTCGTTCACCATCACGGCTCGTTCGCCACGGGGCAATTTAGCATGGCGCTCAACCTCAAGCCGATCAAGGACAATTGCCTTGCACTCGGTGCAGTGGATACGGAGCTGTGGGACACCCTGCCGGTGGAATAGAAGCAAGGCATGAAGAGAGAGTTTGAGAAGAACATGCCGACGGGGAGGATGGGCCCGGTGGAGGATGTGGCAGAAGTGTTTCTGTATCTGCTCAAGGATGTGAATGTTACGGGAAGTGTGATTGGGCTTTGTTGGTTTGAGGGAGTGTGCAGTTGTAGATTTTCATATGTCTACATCTTGCGTTAATTCTTGCTTCAAAAAAAAGACTTCCCATTGACGCACGGCGCGGGCCTGATTCGAACAGGCAGTTTCTGTGGAATGAGTGAGTGCTTCCTAATAGAGTGCAGACGCGGACCATCCACCAGAGCCATATCAGGTTGAATTAGCCCCAGTATACAATCTGTACTTGGGGTATAAAGAATGAACCTGTACCAGGCAAAAACCTCATTACGCCACCCCAAGGCTCCAGCCTGATTCGAACAGACACATTCTGCAAAATCCCCTGGACACCATTTAAGAACTGTAGACACGGGCCACCTGCAATGGAGCCATACCACGGATAATTTGCTCCCTATTGAAGCACCTTGGAAGCTGGCATTGTGCCAAAGTGCTAAAAAATGCCTTTCTTAAATGAAACTACGGCTCCGGCCTGATTCGAACAGGCAGCCTCTGCATTGAAATCTACCCATCATCAATTATGAGTTGCAGACGCGGTCCACCCGCCATGGAGCCATATCAGGGATAATTGGTACCAATATACATGTGTTGGAGTTTCTGCTTCAAGGAATTCAATCCTTATGTTTACACAGTATTCGGTTCAATCAATATAAGATTTACACGATGACGGTGAAGCTGGGGGTTACAAGCTCATGAGGATTCTCCCTCGGTAGCTACTGTATTTATACAAATGTCTGGGTCCATATGAGTCATAACTAAAAGGTTCCATATTATTCCAGACTGTTCTCCAATATTCTGACTGACTCTGACTGATTCACGATGAGTCGTAGACTTGGGCGAGTCATACTCGACCTCGGTCATGTGCCTGAGTGCCCATATCCCAATAACATGCTGTACTTACTGTATTATTTCATTCAATTCAACCAGGGGCGTGACGCGTGACCCAAAATACCAATTCGACCATTCGATCAGCGCCGAAAATTCGCGTGACATAAACAAAAATTCCGACCACAGAAACGAAAATTTTCAATTTAATGTGCCGTGCAGGCGATTTTGCGTGATTTTGCACCCTGCATGACATATTGTTCATTCGACCACCGGGGGGCATGACGCGGGACACTGTACCAAACTTCGACACCGACCAAGGGGTGCGTGATGCGTGATGGTCGAATTGATTGAAATAATACAGTACCTGGGCCTGCGGTAGTGGGTATCAAAAATAAGCTTATACCAGGCAAATAAATCGTTGCCGATACGTGGCCCAAGGCTCCAGCCTGATTCGAACAGGCATCTTCTGCAAAATACCCTAACGAAACCGAATTGAGTGCAGACGCGGACCACCCGCCACGGACCCACACCAGGTTTACCCTCCTACCCTCAGCAGATATATTGAAGGACAATTCCCGGCCGCAAAAACCGGGACCGGCTGGCCTGGGGAAAAAATCATGCGTCGCCCATCGCTTCAAGGCTCCGGCCCGAATCGAACAGGCATCTTCTGCGAAATGCCCTATATTTCACATGAATGAACTGCAGACGCAGACCACCCGCTACCGAGCCATATCAGGGTTTTTTTGGTACTAGTATAAATGCTGTATTTGCGGTGTTGGGTATAAAAATAAAGCTTTGCCAGGCAGTCACAAAACGCCACAGAGCAACATGCATGCTTTACCCTCGGAGACCGGTTCTCAGTGTGCCAAAATAATTCCTGTAATAATCCGCGCCTGACAACTGGAAAAGGGGGAAAAAGCATGTGTCGCATCGCGTCACGGCTCCGGCCTGATCCGAACAGGCAGCTTCTGCAAACTCATCGGCGTATACAGTATGAACTGCAGATACGGTCCACCCGCTACGAAGCCATCTCTGGGTGAATTAACCCCAGTACACATGCTGTACTTGCGGTCTTGGGTTTAAACCATAAATCTCTGCCATGCCGTCAAAAAGCTGATTTCTGGGCGTCCACGGCTCCGGCCTGATTCGAACAGACACCCTCTGCAAAATCTTGCGTTGAGGGAATTTACTTAATGAGTGCAGACGCGGACCACCTGCCACGGAGCCATATCAGGCAGTACACATGCTGTACTTGCGCTGGTGCGTACCAAAAAATAAATCTGCTAGGCAGTCAAAAAATCTATCTTTACACCAGGATTCCGGCCTGATTCGAACAGGCGCCTTCTGCAGTATCTGAAGGTTAAAACCACATGAGGTACAGACGCGGACCACCCGCCACGGAGTCGTACCACGGATAATTTGCTCCCTATTGAAGCACTTTCGAAGCTGGCATTATGCCAAAAAAAAATCTGACCGGCGGCCCTGCTAAAAAATGCTCTTCTTGAGACGAACGACGGCTCCGGCCTGATTCGAACAGGCATCTTCTGCAAAATCCTCTGGACTACCTTTTATGAAGTGCAGACGCGGACTACTCACCACGGAGCCATATCAGGGTGACTTGGTATTAGTACACATGCTGTACTTGTACTGGTGGGTACAAAAATGAATATCTACCAGGCCGTCAAAAAAAACCCCTTTCTTCTTGCAATCCAAGGCTTCGGCCTGATTCGAACAGGCATCTTCTGCGAAATGCCCTAATGCACGGGAATGAAGTGCAGACGCGGACCACCCGCCACGGAGCCATATCACAGATAATTTGCTCCCTATTGAAGTACTTTCGAAGCTGGTTGGCATTGTGCCAAAAAATCCGCGACCGGCGACCCTGCTAAAAAATGCTTTTCTCGAGACAAATCATGGCTCCAGTCTGATTCGAACAGGCAGCTTCTGCAAATTTATTGTCGCTTACAACATAAACTGCAGACACGGACCACCCGCCACGGAGCCATACTGTATAACGGATAATTTGCCCTTGGCGAAAGTACCTTCGAAGTTGGCATTGTGTCAAAAGAAATTTGCGATCGGCGGCCCTGCTGAAAAATGCGTTTCTGCAAGACTTTCCACGGCTCCGGCCTGATTCGAACAGGCAGCTTCTACGAAATTTCTTCAAACAATACACAGTGCGTGCAGACGCGGACAACCCGCCACGGAGCCATATCAGGGTGAATTAGCCCCACTATACATGCTGTACTTGCGGCGGTGGGCACGAAACAAACAAAAAATGTTACAGGTGGCCAGCAGAAAAAAACACGCATGCTGACCATAAGGCTCCGATCTGATTCGAACAGGAGGCTTATTTCATGAACTGCAGCCGCGGACCACCCGCCACGGAGCCTTATTATACTGGATTGGTACCGCCAGCATCTTACCAAACCTATAATATACCAAGAAACAATCCCCCGTGCCAAAGACAAATGCTCCGTGTGTAGCAGACTAGGATATAGAATAAAGGATACATACTTTTGCCACTCACGCACCAGAGGCGTGCTACTACGAATACAAAATCCAACTTCTACATCTCAAATAAAGAGACTACATCAATCAGCGAGAACCCACTTCCCGCTTCGGCGCGCCCAGCTCCGGCCGTGTAGACGGCTACTAACGAGCGTCGGGCACATCGCGCTCCACAAGGTGAGCGCGCCGAGTGCGTGGCCCTGTTGCTACATGGTGCCCTCAGCGATGCTCTGGCTGTCAAAGTGCTGTCAAAGTCGAAGAACGCGAGACCGTGGAGGGATGCGAAGGCCTCGGCGATGTCCTGGATGGATTTCTGCACCGAAATGCGGTGAGCGCGACGGTGTTGGGCAGGAACTGCGCGAGAGGCGCGAATACGGATATTTGCGGAACATGAACGTGAACGGTGTGTTTGGAGTGGTCGCGTCCGTAAGGACAGCGAAGAGCGCGGGCAGGTCCGTTAGCGGCGGCGCGTCCCAGAGCTCGACGCGCTCAAGCGTGCGGTGGTGTACTATCAGAGCGCGCGCATACACACTGCACCCGCGGAAGACGCACAGGCGCGGGAAGTGGAGGAGCGAGACGCGCGGCACGTCGAGCGCCTGCCAGGGGCGGATGGGGTCGAGGTGCGTGAGTGCGGTGTGGCGGTTAAGAAAGGACGAGAGGAGGGGCGGGAAGAGGCCGGTGTGGATGCAAAGAATGTGCGCAGGTTGGGGAGCGCGAGGGTGGCGAAGATGATGAGGTGGCGGGGGCTCCAGGCGGAGATGCGCAGGTGCAGGTGCTCGAGGTTGCGCAGGGTGCGGAGGACAGATTCGAGTGGGAATATCATGTCTACTGGGAGGTAGACCCTTCAAAGACTCAGGTGAAATGTATATATGCACAAGGACAGCTCTGCTCACCCGCCCTGGGTCGATATCACGACGAGTGTGAGTGTGAGTGTGGCTCAGCTGGTTGATCCCCGGATTTATTCATGATCAGGCTGTGGGTTTGAATTACGATTCCAGCGCGGGACATTTGACGTCGAGGAGCAAGAGCGAGCAGAGTTACGAGAAAGGGATAATCCAGAAGGGGATGGAACCAAAAAGTGCACAACGAAAGCCGTCCATTTCGTTATAATTAAAGAAACGAATAATCACGGATGTCATCCGGATAAGGCTCATCCGTGCCGGTCCCTAGGGGAGTCCGACAAGACCGGTGTCGCATAGCGGCGTGACGGTTGTGACGACTTCTCTCTTCCTGCTACAGCAGAGAACTTCTCGTACACAAGTCGGAATCTAGATTCCCTCCGCCGCTCATCCACGACATCGAACAACCTTTCTTTCTCAATCTGGCGTTCCCCGCACGCATCTGCACCGTCACCAGCGTCGTCCCCTTTTCTCACACCGCCCACAGGCTCCGCCGTCATGCGTTCCGAGAAGACCGTCAACGAAGGGGAACTGCGTATCCGGCTTCTCAGCTTCCATCACGAGGTGCGGTACCTCTCGGAATGTCAATATCTACCGCCACTGGTTCCGGGGGCGCCGCTCGATAACGGACCGAATCGGCGCCATGCGGCTGTGCCGTACTCTTTGTTCCATCCTACACATCATTTCCCTTAATTGTATCCATGCATGGTCGCGGTATAGTGAGTGCATACATCTATCCATCGCCACCGTGCATTTCAGCTGAAGTTCATCAAGACTACTGGGTTGGTTTAGGCGTTGGAATGCGCATTTCATTCCCGGCACATCGGATATCTGTTCTTTGTGTCGAGACATGGTATGTCAAGTACTGGAATCTATTCTCATCCCCAACATCTATTGTCGTCCGATTACGTCTCCCCTTACACATGGTCTACAAATTCTTTGACGAATTTTCCAGCGCCGGTGTCTCCTGTGTTACTAAAAAAAACGCCGACATAAGCATCCGATGCCTATGGCCGAGTCACTGGAATCCTTGCCTCGGCCTCGGTCATGCTCGGATCCAAAAATCCCTCAGTCGATTTAAATTTGGATCTCGGGCTTTTGACTTTTGCCCAATTTACTGGAGCAATCATTATAAAGGTGCGACTGAGCGATCCTACTGTCTCAAAATGTTAACCCGCTGATGACCAACTACGTATGTCTCCGTCTTCCCACTGCGGGCAAAGATCAAGGCAGGCAAATTTTGCCTGCCTGACAGGCAACTGCAAGGCGGTAAATTGCAGCTGCCCTGATCACATCATGATGCCTCCCATACAGCGAGGCAGGATTAGATTAAGATAGATACGCGATAAGGCTCGATCCATCAGATAAGATAACAACATTTGCTGCACTGGTATTTCTATATTTTATATGCACCCTCCAAGAGTGAATTGTGAGGATGGGCACCACCGATAGATCTTCCAGCAGTACTCAAACACACTGGAATCATCCTGCTGTTACGAAAGCCTCAGGCTGTAAAATTGTGTGCTAGCAAGCACCATTTACCCCTACTAACTTCCTGCAGAATGAGGAGTGGGTATACAATAGAGTACGCCTCAAGTGGGTCTGCGAGACACAAGTATTGAAAAAAATTATTGGTTTAAATAAATGGTGGCTCCCATACTGCTGTCGCACTTCTCCGGACTGATGTGATAAGGATATTTTGGGATTTAATTTACTCTGACCTATCTAATCATATCATATGATCGAGGCATATCCACGATACTGCCTCGTTCACTGCCGCGACAGCTGCCTGACCTACGGGGTGTCAGCTGCCTGTCAGGCAGGCAAAGTTTGCCTGCCTTGATGTTTGCCCGCGGTGTCCCTGGGCCCGACTCGCACGGCAGATCTGGATCGCTGCAGGATTGAAATTAACAAGAGCCTGGAGGCAGCCGTGAGGTTGACGTCCAGGTCGTCACTCTCGTAAAAAATATCGTATGGTTCTTGAGGGGGTTAACACAACCGTACTTATAAACGACAGGACCCAGCAGCCTTGTCACTGGAATGGTAAACATGTCAACCCTTTCACTCTCGCTTACTGTCGGCGGCTGCGTCTTATTCACGCTCGGCATTTTATGGCAACAATTCTGCAAATCCCGTGCTGGATGGATGAAGGAGCTCGAGATACTGGGTCAGCCCAGGAAACAGAAATTCCCTGGATCAGCGATTGTCTGTGGAGGAAGGTTCGCCCTCGCTACAGCTCGTTTCAGTGCACCGTTTAATAATCCCCCAATAAAGTATCGCAGGAACTGTGACCGCTCGTATACTTGCCGACCACTTCGAGCGGGTCGTGCTTGTTGATCCGGAGATCGAGGATGCGGAAAGGCCCAAGACTAGGATCATGCAATACAATGCTGTTCACGGTGAGCCAACTTTCGTGCAAGAGAATCAAGTTATAAACATACACTCATTCTCTAGCGTTCCTAAGTCTGTTTGTAAACGGCGCCAGACGACTTTGGCCTGATTTCGACACTGAATTTAAGGCTGCCGGTGGTCAGTAAGTGTAGAAGAAATAGAGTCCGCGCCGAGTGCTCAGCCCACAAATGTTTCTAGCCTAGTGCCCGCCGACTGGCAGGCACACTACTCGGGGGTCCTGCTGCCCAGTCCGTTCAAAGACTACCCACTTGGCCGCCTTCCCGATACTCTGGTAATGCGGCGATCTGGCGCCCAGAAAGTGCTACATAGGCTCCTTGTACAGCATCCAACGGCCACGAATATCACCCTTTTGGCTGGAACCGTACGGGGTGTCGAGCCCTCGGCCGAGATGACTTCTATCCAGTCCGTCGTTGTTCGCAAGCTCGACGGCACACAGGTCTCTCTCAATGATGTTGCAATCGTCGCGGGTACGTTGTTTTGGCCGTTACGATTCACGTTCTGATCCCAATTAATCTCCCAGACTGCACCGGATCGACTCAGGCAGGTTTCAAATGGCTACAGAATGCCGGATTCTCCCTTCCGGAGAACCTTCGCTGCTCATACAGCGGAAACTTGCGTTATGCGACTCTGTGTTTTGACGTCCCTCTGGAGCTTGAAGCGATCCTTCCAATACCTTCTGACATGCCAGGAAAGATGCTGTATATCAACATGCAACATTTCAAGTACGGGGACTCTCTTGTCGCTCTGGCTAAAACGGACAACAATACGAGTACGCAACTCTCG